AAGGATGGTTAGAATCAATCTCATAGATATGCACGCAGAGGCGAACATCTGTGAGTCGTACTTTTTGGTCCCGGAATATGAGTCAATGTCCCGAAAGAACGTTATGACACCATGTTCCATATGTTCCAATGGACAGTGCGAACATCGGTCCTACTTTTTGAGTCAAGGAACTGAATCCTTTTGACTCGGGACTGGACCTCATGCGATCTCAGGTATTAGCGGAAAGGAATGCGAGTAGTGATTTAAAAATAAATGGAAAGCTGGCAATCTTCATTTACAATGTAAACTTATTTTTATTTAACGAAAATATTATTAGATTTATACAGAATATGTATATATATATATATATATATATATATATATATACGTGCGTGCGTGCGTGCGTGCGTGCGAGATCAGAATGTTGAGGATCCTATGTTCGATCCTGCTTTTTCCTTTTTTTCATATACTTTTTTTAAATAAATAACGTTATTAATAAACATATTATTCCAAATATATTTTTGTAAAACTATAGAAATTATACATGTACTTCAGTGTGCTCGGAATTAATTGCACATTTCGGGTCGATTTCTGAAGTGCTGCCTACTTTTTCCTCACATCCACTCAATACTCAATGACCAAACCGCTGAATCGCACGCGGACATGCACCTCAGGAGCGTCGCAGTATAAGAAACAAGCTGCGACTATACTTTCCATCAAATTATCATGAAAATATTTTCTTTTCTACATAATTATTTTCTTAATAGTGGTGATTGAATATCATATTAATAAGTAAATGCATTTTACAGAATGTAATGTACTTTTAAAATATTACTTTATTATTTTTATGATACATTCGGTTTTTTTTTCAAAGAGCTACTGATTACGCTTTTGTGCTGAAAAGAATGTAATATAGAATTGTAATATAGAATTTTATTTTACCACGTCATATAGCTGGTCGTCTATTGTATCTTTTTTAGTGGAATAAACTTGGAGAATGCACTTAAAAGACGCATCAATAATAGAACTTTAAAGATAATAGAGAGTTTTTGCAATAACATCGATCCAGATACGGTGAATGCTGAAATCCTTTTCTTAATTAATCGCTAAGAAGAAGATAACATGACCATGGTATCGATTATGTATCTTTTTTCCTAGGTCGAAAACGTAAAAAGTGAAAATTTTTTTGTATGTATGTGTGTATATATACATGCGTGACTGTAGAAAACAATACGTTATACGAGTTAATCAGCTGTAACCCGCGTTCACAGTATGGTATTGCCGCGCAGTATTATTATTGTCAGTTCAATGTAGTGTAGTAATGTTCTACACACACCCATATATATGTGTGTATATATATATATATATATATATTAAAAACGCGAATCAAAAAACATAAAGCGAATATAAAAAAATCAAAAGATTCTCTAACCTATAAAAGTTTCTAAAGTATAAAATTATATTGACATCATCCTTATAATTATATTAATCATCACTTTTGCGATTTGTTCCATCATCAGAATTTTCATACATTCGGATGATAGTTATAAAAAAAAATTTCACAGAAAGTACTGATCAACATCAACGTAACATTATTACAGAAACATGATTTCTTTTCGGATTTTTTCTAAAGATAAACAGATCTTACATATATTTTTACATATAAAAATACTGATTTTCTATCTATTCGACGCATACTACATCGAATTATTTTTTGCTGTAATTGTCAGTTTAAAACTTTTAGAAATACATATATAATTTCAATAATTATAAAAATATATTTGACCTGTAATATGTTTATTAACAGTCACTTATTTAAAAAAAAAAATTACGAAAAAAGAAAAAAGGAATCGTGGGATCTCTAACATTCAGATCTCGCATCCCACGCTGAGGTTTTGCAAATCATTTAATTTGGGAAATTTGGGAGGATTATTAATATTTCAGATCAATTGCGTTTAATGCCGACAACGTAATATCGGCACGTAATTATATCATTTCTGAAATTAATTCATTTGTTTGAAAATATATATATTAGTTCAACATCTCAATACTCAGATCGTAGTTATTATCTACAATGTTCCTTCTCCTCTTAATTATACATGTTGAGCGGCTGAAATTTTCCAGAAAGTATTTTCGCTCGCTAGAAACAAGCGACCGTAGAAAGATGGGGGGGGGGGAGGAGAGGGAAGGAGAGGAGAGGGGAGGGGAGGAGAGGAGAG